TCTGACTTCTGATGGGGAGATCGCCCAGAGCTCAGTAACATCTCATTTTGAATAAAATCCTTTCTCTATATAAAAAGGAGTTTAAAAAGATTTTAGCTGGTCAGCGCACATGTGGACGAGTTTTGGAAAGTAAACAATGATGAATTAGAATCTCCTGTTGTCAGTCTTAAAGAAGTCCATAACTTTTGCACGAAGAGCTATACAACCAAATCCTTTAGCGGTTAAGACTAGGACATCATATAGTAGCTATCGGCAAAAGATCATCGAAATCGGACGGTATCAGCTAGGAACCTTCCCTCGTCAGACTCGAAAAAACGGTGACTCGTCCATCTCTGATCTCTAATAACTTACATTGCTCATTTTCCACAACAATATCGTATCTTGGCTGCCATGATAGACCATTTGTTAAATAGGTTAAATTTGCTTTTGTTACTTTTGTATCATTCAGACTAATTTTTAATATCATTCCATCCAATTGTGGATCCTTAGTAAATTGCAATTGACGTCGTTCAACATAAATATAACGATTATCTTGTTTAATTAATAAATTATAGGGATCAATTATTTTTCCTGTATTTGTTGTTGTATTACAATGACATTCTAAATTTGATTTCAAATAAATATCTTGATTTCTTAATAATTCATTTGATGAATATAAATCTTGTTCACCCAATTTATTTCCATCAATATTAATTGTACTACGAATTATATCAGAATATTGATCACTCGTAAGAAATAATTCTAATTGACCATTATTTAATACTTGATCTTGTTTCAATTGACCTATAGTTGAATAGAAATTTATCTCAAGATAAGGATAAACTACTGTTAAACAATGAAAAACGTAGATAATAAAACTGACTGAAATAAATGTAGCCATTCTGAGTATTTTTAAAATTGTAATAATCACTTAGTTTTCTAATATATTCAAAACAAAAGCAAAGCAAAAATGTACACATACTCATATATATAGATATATAAAATACATACATGTATTATTAAATATTTAATGTGTTTGTCATCTGTTACTAATTTTTTCATAGAATTACAGAAAAAAATGTGACGCTGCGACATAATCATGAAAAGAATTTATCGAGAATTTATGTATGTCGGATAGTTTTATTATTATCATTGCCACCCCCAAGTACACAAATTTCAAATTTAAAAACAGCTTAATCACATCTGTTTTTGTCATTCAGTCATATCTATTATAGAATTAAAGGGAAAAACTGAAAATCTGCTTGTATTTTAGAAAATAATAATAATGTTTCTAGATCAAAAAGAAATAAAAGACGAAAATAATCAAGTATATGACATTAAGTGCAAAAAGTTTCGATGCTTTTGAAAATCATGTATATCAATATCAGTTTAATTTAGAGCGTACAATAATAAGTTTGAAAAAAGGCTAGGGATCAACAATTAAAATCTGTGCGTCAAGTTTTCGGCCTTTACACGTAACGGTCCACTTTTCCGTAAGTCAGTCACGTTTTGTCAAGATTATAGTTCTGCTAGGAAAGCTCTTACAGAACTCGGAAACGTCTCGTTTTGAAGCGCAAACTCACCAATTGCGATGTTATTCGCCTGATAATAATCGATAATTAAAGCCGCCCGTCCGAAATCGATTGTCGATACAGTGCATGGGATTGCCACGACACTTTCCACAAATGTTGGGTACATAAAAGTAAAGCTGTGAAATTTGTCTTTCGCCGCCATATCTCAGTGTTTCGGAGTTTTCTAGAGATCTAGACTCAAAATGAGCCCTCTGCCCGTGCAAATTATTTTTCACTATACTTCAAGATACAGAACCCGGGATTGTGTTATTTAAAGGAGAACTATTTACCCCTTCAGATGAGGGAAAGGGGTCCTTTTATTCTTGCTTTCTTTAATTTTGCGGAGCGTCGAAACCTCTAAAACCCTGAAATACCATCAGAGGTGTTCCAGACTGACGCGGTTTTCAACAGAACTAGAGCCTGATTAAAACATCCCTTCTGTTCATTCGAAGGAGTATCGAGTGTCGCAATAAATAAAAAGAAACACGTTTCTTTATAAAACTATATTTTAAAAAAAATTGCTCGACGTTTGACCACTAGCACAAAAATCGACTTTGAGCAAAACGCTAACTCTTGCTACATGAGACACTCTAATTAGCGCCTTTTGAATAACTAACAAAGATAGAGATTTTCAGCAATCGAAAGAAAACAGTTTTGTCTATGTTTCTTAAAGCAAAATCCTTTTCGAAAAATATTTAGAAGTTCGGATTTCTAGAAGGTCTTTAGAAAACCAGTTTGAATATCCGGATATTGAGATAGCAATCTATCAGTTTTTTTTCAAAGGTATATAGCTCAGAGTGTCCTCTGCATTATGAGAACTAAGCGGATTCTTAATTTGTCCTGGTTCAGGTGTGGCGTCGGAGTTCCCGAGAGTCCCAGGATCAATATTTCTTAAGAAGAGGTAATTCCGAAAACGAATGGAAACATAGCTAATCAATCACGCTGAATCTCGTGGCAACATTTGTTTTTCAAATAAGTTCCAAAAATCTGGTGAAAACCTATATGAGGTGAAATAAATAACCTATTTTTGCCTCATATAGGTTTTCACTAGATTCAAACTGGTTTTTTAAAGGCCTTCTAGAAAACTGAACTTCTAAATATTTTTTGAAAAGGATTTTGCTTTAAGAAACATAGGCAAAACTGTTTTCTTTCGATTGCTGAAGATCTCTATCTTTGTTAGTTATTCAAAAGGCGCTAATTAGAATGTCTCGTGTACAAAGAGGTAATAATCGTCTTAGAAAACTGCAGAATTTTCTAAAAAACTCGTTAAAAATCTTCGAGATTCTATAATATTTTTATATATTTGTGAAGTAAACGCCTCAGGCGACATGCCCGTATATCTATCGCAAAAGTCATTTTTTGACGAAAATCAATTTTTTGGAGCGGGGGGGGGGGGGGGCGGCGTAAACCATTTTTTTTTTAAAATATTATTTACGCGACGGTTGATAACAAATTGGTTTTCGGTTGGAACATGTTAAACC